TGAATTTATTTTCTTCTAAGATTGAAGTTGGAAATAAAATCAATATTTCTGTAAACTTTTTACTTTTAAGTTATTTTCTCCATCAGTAAACTAATCTGTAGATAATTATAATCATTAATAAATTGTACAAGCATGCATTAATTTACAGAAACACAGACACACACACACACAGAAATTATTTTCAAAGATAGTTAACAATGGTTTTTAAATAGAATTGCATTTATAATGTTCATTTCTAAAATGAGGAAAAATATGACGACAATCAATTTGGATCGGTTCATGTTTTCAATATATATATATATGGCAACAATCAAATCGGTCATAATAACAGTTTCGGTGGAAAATATTGGTTACTCAAAGTCGAAAACGGAAAGAGTAAACTTAGATACAAAAATGCGGAATGAGAGGAAGATGAAAATATGAAGAAACAAAAAAAGAAAACCAGAATTCACTTCTTGGTTAATTGAATATTTCACTAGTGGCAGAAATCCATGAAGTCACTGACAAGTGGACCGAGTCATGTTGGTAGATGTAGACTACCTGGTTGGGGTCCGCGAGACGAAAGTCATCAATGGTTAGAGACCTTGAACGACATGGCTCAAAATCGTTTGCAATGGCGCAGGTGCATCCACTCTTTGAGCTCTCTCAAATCCTAATCTTCTGGATTAGCCAGCATTTCTACCTTTGTCTTTCTAACCTTATCTCACTGAATTATATTTTTTGAATAATATCTTAAACCCTAGTCTTCTTTATTATAACATTAATACCTCTACCATCTTTATCACTATGGGATTTGATTTGACATTTGCGTCTCTGTGCTAATAATGTGGTATGGCAACATGAACTTATGTACATACGTACGAAGTTCTACGTTGCAACTGACTGACTGACTGACTGACTAGTGGTGTGAGATTTCACATTACACCGAGAAGCAGAGAAAGATATGAGAAGAATGAACAAAAATTGGACAGAATTGAGAAGGGAAGCTCAGGACAAAGTAGGTTGGAAAACACTGGTTGGCGGACTATGCTCCATGGGTGGGTGACAGGAGTAAGGTAAGTAAGTAAGGTGAGATTTTATAGACTATTTAGACATTTAGAAACTAAAGGAATGTAACATTTGACCAATTGCTTGTTGTTGGTGGTGTTTTTGCAATGAAATAATACGTTTTTCATCAGTTTCACCATATATAAATAACTTTCATTAAAACAAATGAAGGAATAAGCAGAAGAAGTAACTGTTGAATAAGTCGTCAAAGTTATTCGCCAAATACAAGTTTATGTAGTCGGTTTATAGGTCGAATTTTCGGTACAAGAACTAGTGTTGCATTAGAGGATTCGAACTTACGACCTGTTGTTTAACATCTGAGTGTTCAATCCACAACAATTGGGAGGAAACTCTGGACTTGAATTTCATTCTAGTTAGCACTTATCGTCTTAGGGGGATTGGTACATTCTGTGAGAGTTGAATGTGCTCTAACTAACATTATGGTTTGAGATGTCACTACTAGATTATTGTGGCTGCAATCAACTGAACTGATATATTTAAGGAATACACAAACATGAAATCAGCCACTGCATAATGATCGATTAATGCTCAGTTGACTCCGTCGGGCGTTAAACACAAACGCTTTAAGTTGTGCGGGTGACAGAATATGCCATCTAGCTTGTTGCCTTTTTTCGAATTTGAAAACATGTAGTCAATCAATCAATCAATCAATAGCAACGTATAACTTCGTAAGTACGTACATAAGTTCAGGTCACCATACCACATTAGCACAGAGACGCGACTGTCAATTCAAATCCACTAGTAGTAGGGGTAGTAAAAATATTAGCAGTAATCGGAGAGATTACTGTTCGAAGATATTATTCAAGAAGTAAGACCTAGTGAAGTAAACTTAAAAAGAAAAAGATAAAGTGAGTGATGAGGAATTCAGGAAGTCAGAATTTGAGAGAAAACATAGAATGAATGCACCTGCGCCATTGCAATCGATTCTGAGCCATGTCATTCAGGGTCTCTAACCATCGATTACTATCATCTTGCGGACCCTAATCAGGTAGCATGCATCTACCAACATGACTCAGTCCATTTGTCAATGACTTCATGGATTTGTGCAATGTTTTGGTTTGGCCGCCCCTAGCTTTCGTCCAAGCAATGCTTCGGAGACACCTATCATCGAAAACCAATAACCTACGAAAACGCTCAACTCCTACCTGCCACGTTTGACAGCCATAAAGTAGGACGGAGCGAACTACAGCGCAGTACACTCGTCCTTTAGTCAACAAACGGATATCTCGCCTACGCAATAAGTGACGCAGGTTGGCAAAAGTCAATCGAGCCTTCTGTATCCGCGCTGGGATTTCGTCACACACACCAGACCGAAAACATGCAATCACAATGATGACACAAATCGCTTCCGAAAATATAAACTCCTACATTTAACCAACTACATGAAAATTTCAACAAAAAAACTATTTGAATGATACTTTCTAGTAAAAGACAAGTTATTAGTAGTATAACTGTTTCTCGCGGTCTCAACTAAGCTATTTAGAATGATATTTACCAAGTCATTGTATACGACAAGCAAATTTCCTTAGCCTTAAACAACCAATCACACACAGCTAGAAAATTGAATGAATGGGGTCACATGTACTAGTATTTTTCTTTACACACATATAACTCAAGTGATTTTGGCAGTAAATTAAAAAAACAACAACTACAAGACAACATAATAATTTTGAAAAAATCTCAATAAGTGGTAAGTAGGTAGGTAGGTAAAAAACTCGATAAGTTGAATAACAAGTCTATGTTTAATTTTGGTTTACTTAAGCTAAAAGACAAAACAACATTTACAGGATATCAATTTCCCTGACAAACAGTGGTCATAAAGAAAAATATGAAACTGAGAATTCATTCAAAAATTGCTATTCAAGTGTTGTATTTCTTCCTACTATTGTAGTGAAGGAGAACACAGGTGGGGCAACCGAATTGTATTTAACGAAAATTACAGAGTTACTCAGTAAAATCGGAAAACCATATCGTAAATCGTTAATTTGCAAAATATCAGTCCGTCATATCGAACTGGGCTGTTCCTGTTGCAAAACATCAATCCATTGTCTGACATTTCACTGTTCATGCGTTTCATACAAATTCCATTGTTTTCTAACTCTTCCTTTCTTGATCTTCCCCCATCTTCTGCTGCCAGACATTACGTGACACACTCACGTCATATACTACTTATAAGTAGCTCGCACCACACTATCTTTTATTTCAACATTATTATATTCAAAATGATTATTTTGCTGGAATAAGCTTTAGTCAAAGGAAAAAGTCTGGATAAGTATAGATTACATAATGTGCAGTGTATGTGACATTTTAACATGTTAGTATCAATTTAAGGACTGTACTCCAAATCATTATTTCATGAATTCTCAACTCTGCTGCAACTAACTAACTAATTAACCAACCAATCTTTTTCAAGCTTATCATCAAGTCAAGCAAATATTTTGTTTCTAAGAGATAATAAAGTGAAAATGAAGACTTTTAGTAAAGGGAATAAATGTAAACGATTCGTGTTTATATATTGAACAATGATCAAATCTTTAAATCAAAGACAATAAAGCTATATGTTTCAGATACATCATTATTTATAATGAACATCTGAAGGATTTTATTGTTAGAAATCAAAGTTCATTGAAATCGCGAATCGATTAATGTAAGACCGCCATTATAAACCTGGAAGCACTGATACGCTGCTTCATCCTAATATGAGACTCATCGACAGTGCGCATCCACGATACACGTACGCATGAATCGAAACCAGGATCTTTGGCTCAGTGATCTAGATGTTAAGCATTCACGTGCGAGACCGAGGATTCTCAATTCGATTTCCGCGTGCAGAGGTCGTGGATATGCACTACTGATAAGTCTCATACTAGGATGAAACAGCCTACCATTACTGAATACTATTTTTGGTTGTCAAAATACCCTATCTGTTTGATATATATATGTATATATTAGGTATGATAAAAATAATCTTAGCTATTTGGGAAATCTTCAAATCAAAACAAAACCACACATACACAACGTATTTAATTAATTTTGAAAGCAAAAAGAAAAACAAATATCTAAAAATAATCAAAGTGTATGATTGATAAGGTAAAACAAATAAGAAAACATGTGAATAATAACTGTGGCATAGATGAATCAGTTTGTCCAAAAACTAGGACAATAGTCATATGATCATTAGACATGTGAGTGTAAAATACAGGTAACATTCATTATTTATCTTCCGGTAGAGAGTCTAATATATTTAAAGTCATTTCGTACTTTTTTAAATCAACAATTCTAAAATATTACCCAATGTTTATTATTACTATTATTATCCATACTGCTACAGCTACTCAAGGTGTGAGGGCGAAGTCATACTGCTGCTGACTGTAAAGGGGTGTGACAGCCGTAAGGTGTTTACTTCAGACAACCAGCATCTGCAGTGATGCTGCCTTCTCATAAGGAAGAAAGGGGTTAGAAAAGGTTGACAATAAAAATGTCACATCTCACCTTATCTCACGGATTTCCGTCTCCGGCGGTAAGGCCTTTTATAAAAGAGCGGAGCTAACACTTTAAAAGTAAGTGACATCCGCCCTCATACTCGTAACAACAACACACATGACCAAGTTGGTCACATTCAAATCCTTTCTATTACCTTTTAATAACGCTCTTACCTCTATGACCATGCTATAAAATGATGTAGCAACTTGAAACGAAGCCAAGTTCTCTACACGTTGCTTATGACTGGCAGCTGAAATAATCAAACTAATTACAAAATAAATGTTGTTCGGTTTTGTTCGTCAAATTTTCAACAAATAATATCCCTCTCACTCTCACACACACACTCTCTATGATATAATCTACTAACATTAGATTAAATTAATCTTCATAAATATGGCATACATTAATCAAATTGATACAATGTTGAAGAAATCAGATTTTATTATTACCGACTGACTGAATAAACACCATCACGCATTAGACCATTCACTGTTCGTGAACCAGTTCTTGTGTAATCACCCTATAATACAAGTACAAGTATGGGAAAAAAAGAAAGATAAATGTAAGTAGGTTGATTGGAAAGGGGAATTTTAAATAGAAAAAAAACAATAAAATTCCATACATTTTAAAGAAATTATAATATATATTTATGTGTGATACACTTCTAGTCTAACTTAGATGGATTTGCGATTTTCCTTGACATTGAATAATTTTCAAAATCTCATACTTATAACTAACTGATCAAGGTATTTTATATATGGAAACGTAAAGCTGATAATCGATAAAATGATGTAGGAGGGATGGGGGGGAGTGAAAGGGAACAATTGATATATATATGAGATTGTACACTTTTAAATCAGCAATGGAATTAAAAATGGCTTATTGAAGTGAATCAGTAAAAAGGAAAAAAATAAAACCTATTTTGTAGTGAATAAAGGAGGCTTTAATTTTTTTTTTTTTGATAGTTAGAGCTTCTGTAAAAACTTAAGAAATGATAACTTTATATAGTCTCGATATTTAAACAAAAAATAAACGAAAAATATGTTTTAAAGTTAATCCTATAGACTAGTTGATTATAGAAAGTGTCAATTGATTTGAAAAGAAGTATATTGTAGGGTGTATAAAAAAATATATTTTATACAATCAAACTGTGTATATAAAATTATTTATCCAGGTAATTTTAAATATTCACAAAGTTGGATTGTAAAATTCATTACTTGGATTTCGTTTCACTGGTAATCTGTCAGTTACACGTACTTGCATCATCATGTTTATGTTTACATTCATATTTGGACCAAGTGATTCTTTTATGAAAAAACTCAATGACCTAATGAGAACCGATAGCCGTTAAGCTGTTTCATAGGTTCGAAGGCACCAATACGTTTTTCTTTTATTAAAAATTACCCGTTAGAACTATAATTCATCAGTATTTATATATATATAAATATATATATATCCTGAGTGGATGGACTCTACATTGTCATTTAACCAGAAATTTCCATAAACATCAAGTCTCATCTTCACCAAAACATCCGATCATTTCAAATAATTCAGGATTATTCATATATTGAATTCCTGATCAATCGATTGACCAGGTATGTGTTACGTATGCCCAACCACCAACTTCCTGGACAAGTTATGTATTGTGTTGTAGGAGTAGGTTTGAGGAAACCTAGGGGCGGCCAGAACAAAACATGGTACAAATGCACGAAGTCACTGACTAGTTAACTGACTCATGTTGGTAGATGTAGACTAACTGATTGAGGTCCGCGAGACGATAGTAACCGATGGTTAGAGACCTTGAATGACATAGCTCAAAGTCGTTTGCAATGGCGCAGGTCCATCCACTAGCTGTTCTATGAAATTCTAGTCTTCTGAATTCATCACCACCTCGACCTTTCTCCTTCTAAAATTATCTCACTGAACTATATTTGATGAATAATATCTTCGATCCCTAATCTCCCTAATTACTACTAGTACTTCTACTATCTCTACCACTATGAAATTTCAACTGACATTTGCGTCTCTGTGCTAATGTGGTAGTATGGTGATCTGAACTGATGTACTTATGTGACTGACTGACTGACTGAATGACAATCGATCAGTCAAAAATAAATGGTAATCACGTGATGATATTTCAAATTATAAGGATATAAAAAGGTTAAATTAATGAATAAACAATTAGAAAAATAAACCCATATTTTTTTGTTTGAACTGCATAATCATTGTAAATAGGAAATAATTTTATAACTACTTGTAAATAAATGATTTTATAACAAACTGTCCAAAAACTAGACAGTAAATACTGTTTAGCGAATGCTCTAGTATGACCTGACTATATATTCCATGATAAGAAATCAAGTGTTTTACATACATATCGTAAAATGTAGTGAGTGGATGAACATCCTGTATTCTGAAACACTAGATTTCATAAGCATAGAGCAAAACAGTTCTAATTGACCAGTCGCAGACCTGACCTTTTAAAGCCAGGTTAGTATTATAAAAACGTTAACCATGATTGAGATTGGGCTTGTGGCGCTATGGCTTTTTCACTATAAGCATGATGATTTCATGTGTCATGTCACCAACAAAACTCACACAGCTACCCAGATCAGTCAGTCAGTTAATTAGTTAGTTAGTTACAACGTAGAACTTCGTACGTATGTACATTAGTTCAAGTTGCCATACAATATTAGCACATAGAGAAGCAACTGTCAATTCAAATCCCATAGTAATAGTAGAGGTAGTAAAAGTATTAGCAATAATCGGAGAGATTAGGATTCGAAGATACACAAACCTTGTAGCTACTTCTAATGGCTGACTTACCATGAGAAATGAATGAATACAGGCACATACTCACATACTCAGTCTCTCAACAGTACTTTGCATTTAGATTTAAAGTACATATTAATGAATTGCGCGTATGTAAGATAGGTTGTTTGACTAATATAAAATCAATCAATATCTGTCTGTTCACCACTGTTAAATACAGAAATCTGCTAACTATTTAATGCCAAATTAATTTATATCTTCAATAGACAACTGTCGACAATAAAAAAAATTTTATCTTCATAATATCTAAAATTTATCACCATTGTATTATTTTAATTAATAACAAGATTCAATTGTAGATTAGACTTTAAAACTAACTACTACTAGTGAATACAATAAGAATTGCATGATTTAGATAACTAACTAACTAAGTTTTTTAACGATGAAAATCTCCAATGAAAAAATTTCCAATTAAAGCCAGATTCAAACAAACAAACAAACAAACAAGTAAATGGAAAAAATAAAAGGCAAATTCATGTATTCAAAACCACACTAATGGCAAATATCTTAAGGGCATTTTTATATTGTACTATATATATGCATGTTCGTGCAAAAATTTCTAATGATATGTATTTTTTTTTAAAAAAAACTACATTTAGGATTATTATTATTATTATTATTATTATTATCAGTTTGAGTATAGTTTGTAATTAATATGATTAACTTGTAACACATATTATACACAGTAAGAGAGAGAGAGAGAGAGAGAGAGTGAGGAAATTAAGAGACATACAATGTAGTTTCATATGATGATACTATTCGGCTAAAAAAAACAGAATAGACAAGAGAAACTATACACAAATACACATACATACATACATACAATGTATGTCTGTTGTAGCTTGAACTTACTTTCATTGCACTTGTCCCTGCGTATATTTTACTGATAGCATCGCCATTTGTTGCCCACATATGTTGAATTGTTCGTAGAAATTCAATGGGTAAACATTCCTCGGGGCCTAATAAACCAATTTTTTTCAACTAACAACAACATCAACAACAATATCAACAATATATAGTTGATACATTGTAGTTAGTGAAAAAAAAATGGCCATGAAAAAAGTAGAGAAGAATAAGAGGAAGAAGAAAGTAACAATTGAATACACAAGGGTTAATATCGAGTGAGACAATTATTATTATTATTATTATTATTAACATTTTTTAAATAATCGCTATTCATTGTTTGAAAAATAAATTTATGATCTATAGCTAGCTACCAAAGCCATCATTCAGAAGATACAAGTATTTATTAACAGTTGTTTATGCAAAATACTTCGGCCAGACACCATCTGTAACAACCAACTGTGGAAGAAAACCAACCAGATTCCAGTGGAATCGGAAGTCAGGAAGAAGCGCTGGAAGTGAAAAGCACACATATTGAGGAAAGCACTCACCTGCGTTACAAGACAAGCCCCCACTTGGAACCGTCAAAGATAAAGGAGAAGAAGAGAAAGACCAAGGAACACATTACGCCGAGAAATAGAGAAAGACATGAGAAGAATGATCGAAAATTGGACAGAACTGGAAAGAGAGGCTTAGGACAGAGAAGGTTGGAGAATACTGGCCGTTGGCCTATGCTCCGTTGGGGGGTAACAGGCGTAAGTAAGTAAGTAAGTATAATTAACTACTTCATATAAGCTTAAGAATTAAAAATTCTTCATACATTTTATATTGGTTACACCTAATTCATTTCTTTCAACCTATATCCTTTGTATTTAATATAAATCATATACTACTGTCATTCAAACTTGTTTACATTTCATTTTGTGCGCATGTTTCTCCATTCACTGAGTTGATTGTTGAATTGTGTCAACTTGAGTCAGTACATATTTATGGCAAGCTGTTTATGACGCGAAACAATGTAGCATTAATTAAGTTAAAAAAACAAACTAAGGAGTCTGGAAACGAATTTACAAGAATAATATTTCAACAAAAACAATAACAGCAAATTTATTTTTGATATGCTTGAAACTATTACGAGTTCACCTTACTCGATAAACGGAACGAAAATCAACGATACAATGACACGATCAGTTATTCACGTTCAATTTTTTCAGGCCCCGCTAACTAGAGCAAGAAGTCTTGAGAAGCCGTAGAAAATGTATTCTACAGGCACTCAGAAAGTACGACGTTCACAAGCACACAACACACACACAATGATAGCAACACCCTTGGTGAGAGCCATAAAATAGCGTACTAAAATACAAGCTGAAGGTCAACTAGGCTTGTTTGGCACGAAGACATAAACATTCAAAATTTCGGGATAAAATTACGAAATTAAGACTATTTACAAGTGAGTTCTGGGGATTTAACGTCGCCAAAAAAATTAGAAATGGATTTTTTTTCTCTTATGTAACTCATAATATAATCTACACACGTACATTCATGGAAAATAAATTGTTTAGAGAAAAATTAGAGATTGATAAAGCTAATTTTTTTTATAAAACTTGACAAACATCCAGTATAGTTGTATTTCCAATAGCTTTTCATAGCATTTTACAACTGCATGTACCTATAAGAGAAATCAACTGAGAATTTATTCACTCTTTGTGCAGCGAGAGTATTTTTTATTACCTTTAATCGGATTCGATTGCCCAACTGCAAAAAAATAAAATGTACGTTGTGACAGATTGTTCATAGAACTATTTCAAAATAATGAATGGAAGTAGACAACAGACACAACAAGTAGATAGACAATAATTGAACATTTAAGTCTAAAGTATTCAGTGTAGTGAAAAACTTTTGTTTTGTCTTACATATATACATTGAAAAGAAAAATGGACAGATTTGGTGGTAAAAATTCATTTATTTATTTAGTGATTATAGTGTGATTTGATTGTCAGTTTGTTTTCCTGGTATATATATATATATATATATATATATATATATATATATATATATATATATATATATATATATATAAAAACATCTATAAACTTATTGTGTTTCGTGTATTGTCTAGTTAAATGATCCCGGACAAAATGTAAACCATGTATGTATGGTGGTAAGCTACTTGATATATTTGCAGTTATTTTAACAAATAAAATTACAATCAAAACGAATGAAGAAGTTGAACTTGTTGATAATTGAACAATTTGGATTTAAAATAAAAAAGGGAAGAGTTAAATTCAATTATCTTGAGATGGACTATTTGTGTTATGATGATTTGAAAAAAAATTTCAAACAAGGATTATTATAAATCGATTTAAATGAAATGGTAAATTGAGTGCACTGTCAATAACCTTTGGATCCGATGCAGATGTGAGGGCACGGATTGGCAAAGCAAGGGTTGCATTTCTACAGTTGAAAAATATCTGGAACTCCAAACAACTTTCAACCAAAACCAAAATCACGATTTTCAGCAGAAATGTCAAGACAGTTCTACTGTATGGAGCGGAAACATGGAGAACTACCAAAGCCATCATCCAGAAGATACAAGTGTTTATTAAGAGTTATCTACGCAAAATACTTCGGATTCGTTGGCCAGACACCATTAGCAACAACGTACTATGGGAGAGAACAAACCAGATTCCAGTGGAGGAGGAAATCAGGAAGAAGTGGTGGAAGTGGATAGGACACACACTACGAAAAGCGCCTAACTGCGTCGCGAGACAAGCCCTCACATGGAACCCTCAAGGCAAAAGGAAAAGAGGAAGGCCAAAGAATACATTACGCCGAGAAATAGAGAAAGATATGAGAGAAATGAACAAACATTGGACAGAACTGGAAAGGGAAGCCCAGAACAGAGTTGGTTGGAGAAAGCTGGTGGGCGGCCTATGCTCCATTGGGGGTAACAGGCGTAAGTAAGTAAGTAAGTGTCAATAACCTTGTTCTGTTTGACAATATATTTAAAACAATTTGCGAATTGGATATCAATTGAAAAATCAACTCAGTTTTTTGTTTTGTTTTTCAAATAGATTAGTTGGAGAATGTACAAGACTACAGGGAACAATTTCAGTTCTGGGGGGCAGAGTCGTACAATCAAACGTGTGTGAAAGAGAAGACAACCAGTATTTGTAGTGAATACTGCTTCTCGACAACAAAACGAGGAATTTCTAAAAGACTGATCTTAAAAAAAGACACACCTCATGTAGTTCAACAGATAACTATTGCTAACGATAAGGTCTTTAAATTATGGAGCTAATCAGAAGTAGGGCTTGTTTTACCCGGTCCCAACAAGTTTTCCACCGCGCCCTGACGCTACGTTCCCCGATTGCCAATAGTACAACTAATTCATTTTCATTTATATGTAGAAGTATCCTTCGATAGTGTGGACAATCAGAAAGCAACAATCGACTACACATGTCCATATGAAGTGGACATCACCTTGTTTACGACCAAATCCATTTGCTACTTCTTAATATTTCTTCTGTCCATACTACTAATTTTTGACTTACGTCATTATCGTCATAAAACACCAGTTCAAACTATTCGAACCCATGAAATTTGATTTTTGGTCTCCTGAAAACGCGTTCTAAACCTACGTATTAGAGTTTCCAATGAAACGTTTGGGTTTAGAATAATTAGTAATGGACTTGTCTTTAAAGTTGTCCTGTGTATTGTGTTTGTTGCTACCGAGGGTTGAACCTAGGATTTTACATTGTGCGAAAACGGTTAACACACTATAACTTCCGAATTACCTCTCAAAATTAGTCATTATGAGGCATGTGATAGGTTAACATTTTCAATACAATATAAAAACCCACATCACTGATAAATAGTGATTGAATCTACCTGAGTTGTAATCATTACAACAGCAAACATACACTGAACTAAATTTGTACGATCTAAGCAATCTAAACAGTTCACATGAAATAACCATCTTTGTTCACATATTACACCATTACGAGTAATCCTAGAAAAGAATAATTAATATACATGGATTTAACCAACAATCGTTAATATTTTAATAGGTATTTTAAAACACCATAATTAATATGAAGAAAGTTTTCATGAGGTTATATCACCTATGAATTACAAAATTATTCAACAGTTATACTGCATTGTAATAGTTTAATTAACCAATCACATGCAACAAACACTTCATAAACTGATAATATATCTTAGTTTGGCCGCCTCTAGCTTTGTTTGGAGCAACTTCTATACTAACAAGCATAGCGCATCTAAATAGGCGGTGGTTAGGTGTATATAGTGTATGTTCTAAACATCTAAGGTTTACTACATCATCGATTGATTTGCCATCTTGGCTTCAACACATGGTAACTAAGTAAAGATAGTAGATAGTTAATAGTGACAATAGTTATTTCATCCTACCCTCGTGCTTGAAAACAGAATTTTACAACCTCAAGTTGACATTCCATTGAACACACAAGAACATTAAGTCTCTCGATGGATGCGATACTACATTTGAATTCCGTGATCCGAATTCCAAACGTTAGTCAGTCTCTAGATTTGAATCAAAAATCATAATCCAATATTACAGATATAATAATGGAACATTCTCATTTTGATTGAAACTAAAAATGACTTTAGCTTCTGATAATGATAGTACTCATATAGTAACAATATTTAAAAGATAGATAGACAGATCGAATGAGTAGGCACTTTTGTTCAGGACGGTTACCTTGATGTAATCAGTAGGAATCCATGAACTTAGGGTTTCACGGTGGCTAAGACTCATCAACAATTTAGTTGTTTGCAATCTTGAAGGAATGATTACTTCTCGTGCAACAACAACTTATCAATCGGTGTTTCAATGCACATTTCAAGATTCTTATAAGCAGCAGCTATCTTTACTCCAATCATTAATGTATTGTCTTAACTTACTCATCAGTTAAAATAAATCAACACTATAAATAATAATAATGATAATAATGACAATACTTGATAACTTACCAGCAATAATTAAAATTACGAAATAAATCTGCAATACCAGAGAGAAGAACTGAAGCATTTTGAAATTGAGAATTTTGACTAGATATCATTGATAGAGATTGATGTGAATATATATATAAAATGAAAACAAAGAAACTTAAATAACAACCATTAAAAGAAAATTTAAACAGGATCAGTATCAATTTAACAGTGAAAACAATGCGAAGAGAAAGTTTATCAGAATTATGTGTTGACACATAAGTGCAACAGTTTGATCACATGTTAACTAACTTGTTGAGATATTGTCATGTATGAAACAATAAAAGTTGAACTAGACAAGATTATAGGGAAGAAAAAGAACAAAATGAATCAGACTATTCTAGAGATAAGATTAAAGGTTATCAGGAAAGGGGTTAATGTAAGTATACATGGTTACTGGTGGTTTGCTTGAATAGCTTGCTTGCCTGATTTCTTAACATGAAAATTGATCAACAAGTTACTTCGTTTTTATTTTCGCCTTAAACACATAAATTATGTCTATCAATCACATAATATATTCAAAGGTACATACATATAAAATGTTTACAAGCTATTGCTATACACACTGTTTGAAAAGTACAATCTGAAACAGTTCAGTAGCTAGCAATAATGCTTAGAAAAAAAATGAACGTTAACTAAGTTGTTGATTGCTGACCAGTAAGTCAGTCAGTTACAACGTAAAACTTCGTACATGAGTACATAAAATCAGGTTACCATACTGCATTAGCACAGACAAGATACTGTCAGTTCAAATCCAAGAGTGGTAGAGACAGTAGAAGCATTAGAAGTAATGGAGAAGATTAGGGTTTGAAGATATTATTCAAGGAGTATAATTCAGGGAAATAAATTGGAAAAAGAAAGAGGTGATGTGGAATTCAGAAAGTTAGAATTTCATAGAACATAAAGAGTGGATGCACTTGCGCCATTGCAATCGATTCTGAGCCATGTCATTCAAGGTCTCTAACCATCGATTACTATCGTCTCGCGGACCCCAACCAGGCAGCCAACATCTACCAACATGACTCAGTCCACTTGTCATTGACTTCATGGATTTGTGCCATGTTTTGGTCTGGCCGCCCCTAGCTTTCTTCCAACCTACTCCTCTACACCACAAAACATAGCTCGACGAGGCAGTCGGTGGTTAGGCATACACAACACATGTCTCAATCACCTCAACCAATGAAGTTTCACTACTTCATCAATCGATCTGCCATCCATACCTTGTACTCGTTTCCTGACAACGGCATTGCTTATTCGGCTGTCCCAGGATATACGAGCAATACTTCGAAGACATCTATAATCCAAAATACTAATAGCCTACGAATGTCCTCGACTCCGATTGCTAATCAGATAATTGTTTTGTAAAGGAAAGTTGTTGAAATATTCCTTAGTGAGAATTTCATAATGTACTAAAGCCATTTCTTTTTCTTCTTATTGTTGTTATGATTATAGGCTTAAACTATGCGTATCTGAAACACTTTTTCGTAAACTTAAGTATTTACTGCACAATACACTTTTGAGTATAATTATGCTTCACAATGAAAACAAAAAACAAATGTCTTTCACTTGCTTTCATTGCGTCATTTGATTTTAACATGTTTTGACAGTCACTTCGATATATATATATATGCAACCATCTAAACTTGGAAGTCATAATTACTGCTCTCTCTCTCTCTCTCTCTCTCTATGTACTCATGTTCACATACAAATATATGAATGAGTTAATTCAACAGGATGTGACGTAATCATTTACATGCTCTTTAAATCTCTATTGTTTTATTAATCTGATAACAATATATCAATTAGATAAAAAAAGCACAATACATATTTTTTGTACTGCGAAATAACAGAGTATTCACTTGTACGATTGTTATCTTTAACTTAATGATATGCATACAACTACTAAGAGTTCAGCTTACTCGGTGGTAAACGAAACGAAGATCAGTGATTCAGTGACACGATAGGCTATTCTAATCCAATTGTCCTAGAACCCACTAACTAGATCAAGAAGTTTTGATAAGACATAGCGAGAATGTATTCACACACATCTAGACAATACAAGGTCCATAAACACACAAATCAGGCTTAGTTTACAATCATGGCAACGCCCTTGGTGTTAGCCACAAAATGGCGCAATAAAATAATCCTTCAACCAATAATAGTCAACGAATTTCCGAGTGGGAAATGTAAGCTGAAGCTCGAATAAACGTCTTTGGCGCGAAAACGTAAAAATTCTAAATTAGGGCCTTTTCCAAGTGAGTTCTGTGGATCTAACGTCCTCAACACTAAAACTGAAAATGTTCTATTGATTACTATGTAAAAGTCATTTAAGTATGAAGATGGACTTAAAGACATTAGATTCATTTATAAAAATGAAACTATATGGTTGTTAGAAGTGTTGTATGATGATGAGAAAACAAATGATTTAATTTAATACTGATTGAATAGATTGTAGGAATCATTTAAAATTTAAATGATAAATTGGCTACCTAAACTATTTTTTTTTCATCTCAAACTACCATCATCAAGTAATCTATACCAAACTGTTTGAGAATTTAACAAGAGTAAAATAAAGTAAATTACAAGAAAAGTCAGTCTACCAGTCAGTCATCAACAAGATAAATGAATTTGATCTACTAAGTATCATCAAAGATCTTTTTCAATTTCAAAGCTCCGCCAGTAGAACCTTCAAGGCTACTGCCGGTCCCAAGCCCGGGTAAAGGAGGAGGGTTGGACATGGGGTTGGCGACCCCATTCCGTCGAAATCTAACTTGCCAAAAAAACGCTAACCAGAAAAAAAATAATTCTTAAGTCAACCAGTGTAAACAAAACTGATTGATCAATACCAGAAACAGAAGCTAATGAACATATCAGTCATTGATGTTATTTTGAAAAAAAAATGCACACAAAATTTAATATTCAATTACAATAATAGACAATATTGTTTTTCTATCAATGGTACAATACAATTCCTTCTGTGTTCAGTTCTCTACCATGAGTTTTTCTCAACCAACGAAAAAAGAGGAAAGAAACATAATCAAGCCATTGGCATTTTTATCTTATCATCAGAATGTAATCTATACAATTAAGACATTTATTTTTTTATAACTGACAAATAACACATATTGTAATTCAGACATTAACATTGTTAGCAGTTTTTATTTCTTGTTAACAAACTGTCCTATATATACATATATATCATTAAGTCAAATTAGGAGTTACATTACAACAAACTTGTGTATTTCTTCGTATTCAGATAAATAGAATTGAGAGGTTTTCGATTCGTAACAAGAAAATGATAAATGAGCAATATTAATTCATTAGTTTGAAAAATAATTACTGTAATTAGTGTATGAATGATATAAGAGAAGGAGAGATATATTGTCAGTGAGGGAAGGAGTGAAGTAGATGGAGTTGTGTGTGTAATAAGGATTACAAAAATGCATGATTAAATGAGTCCACTCTATTATTCGGTTAAATTTGAAAATTTCAATTGGTGGAGAAAATTTGTAGCTCAGGTAGGTAGTTTCGGTGGTGTTTCGTTGTTTCGTCTTCTTTTTGAGCTTTCATTGTTCTTCTGCTGAACAAAATCATCAGCACAAACTTCAGATGGAAGTGAGGGATTCGAATTTCTCCACTTTTGACCTGTAGCTTGTTCTGCTAACCTCGATCTTGATTGTTTGCTGTTGACTTTAAATCTGTCGTTGTTTGTTTGCACCTTTGTTTTGATTGTATCCCCTTTTTGATCTGTTTCTTGATCTTATGTCACCTATGATTTTTCTGATTGGCTAATAAATTGGGTCAATGTCGTTGTGTTCGTTGATTGCTAACTGACTTGAGTGCCAAGCTTCTAAAAATTCCCTAGCGTTCTTTGTGCTCCTCTTATCCACTATTTCCACATTGTTCCAATCGAATGTATGTCCATAATTGTCCGTATGTATTGATATAAGTGAAGAATTGTCATGAAATTTGACTGCTAATTGGTGTTCACGTAAACGAAGCTGAAAAGGATGTCCACCTTGTCTTATCTAGTGTTTTTCACAGCCTGAGCAATTTCTTTTGTAGCTGATATTTGGTTTCTCTTCCTTTGTCATTTTGTCCTTTGGTCTACATAAGGATTGATTGAAGTGATTCTGTTGGTTTGTGTACCACACCTATTCTAAATTTAAACTGTCTTTTCAGATTCGATAGCGTACAAGAGGTATGTATATACATACATACACACTGATGACAAAACAATGAGTCCAATGCATTCACCATGATTTTCATGTCAGTGACAAATCAATATGAACTTGACTAGCGTTTAATATAAATGTCACAGAAATAACTATAACTAGACAACTATCAATATTTTTTATGCTGTTGATTGATGAATATGAGAGATTTTCTCGATTTAAGATCTTAATTGCTCAAAATGACTTGTACTGGCACTGTTGTATTTCATTCCTTGTAATCACTCGAAGCTAATCTTGTGAATTCCTTTTTGTTAAAATCTATTTCACTAGATTATCCTTCATGAATCATATAATCGATCTTTAATCTTTTCGATTACCACTGTGTTACTTCTATTGTTGTGCACGAAAACTCAGGTGAGGACATCAACATCTATATTGAAGTGAATATTACAGAGATGTTAAGCATATGTACAAAACCTTCTTCGTGTGAATCATCATTTGCAAACTAATCCTTATTTGTTTCAGATTTCAGTGTTCTTACATTTAGACTGTTCAAACTTTTCAGTTCACTTAACGTTACCTACAAATCGCCTTCTGTTCTTATTCTTTCCTTCTCGATCTTTTGCTGTCAGACGTTTGATTTCCTTTTGATATCATATACTACTTATGTGAACATAAGTAGCGTACACCACACTACTACTTCTACACTACAGTCTGTGCTAATGTCGTATAACACTCAGAACTAATGTAGATTGTCATTGACTGAGTGAAAATTCAGTTCGATATTGCATAATGATTTGTAACACATTTTGTTTAACGAAAAATCATTCAACTTTTTTTTCAGTGTTCTAATTTTAAACTGTTTAAAAAATGTACATAAAATTG